ATGCCAAACACACACTGGATTGCTCTCTGTATTGAAAGATAGACCGTCGACGGCGCTACTCGTCTGGGTTCTCGGCACGCACCCTCGCTTCCTCCAACACGTCGGCCGCCGCACACATGGTTTGAATCCACGTGTGCAGCACGAGGATCGATGGCGCCGGCAACTCGACATCGTCTGCGACCACGTCCCCCAACACCTCCCTCGCCTGCGCGACGGTCGCGACGGACACCGCGCTCACTTGGAACGCTTGCACCTTGGGCGCCAAGACCGTGTTGACCAGCCACGGACGGATCTTGTCCCACGACGGCATCTGCGTGGCGGCGTTGACGGTGTCTCGTTTGGAGAAGCCGTTCCCGAGAAGCACGAGGCCCGCCGCGAGCGTCTTGAGTACCGGCGCCTTGAACGGGATGAGCGACGTCCCGACGATATGCAGCGCATCCAACTGCGCCACGAGCAAGTCGTTGATGAGCTGCGCCTTGACCGTGGCCTCCTCGAACGCCTTCCTCGCCTCGTCCTCGATGCCTTCGACTGCATTCGCCACCCGCGTGTCGTTGGCCGCCAACGTGTCCTTGATCGCGTCCAACTTGGTCTTGACGTCGCGCTCGTCGACTTTGCGCAGCTCGATTTGGGCAACTGCCGTCCGCTTCTCGTAAAGCTCGACGGCCTCGCCCAGCGTCAGCGACCACTTGAGGAACTCGCGAATGTTGTCGGGCGTGAACGGCCGCGCCGCACCCAGCGTGTCGACGGCCACGATGAGCCAGCTCTCGACCGCCGGCATCGAGTCTCCCTGCACAACGTCGTCGTGGAGGAAGCTGTTGTACTTGATCCCCTTGACCAAGTACGCGCCCATGCGGGGAATGCCAAAGTACTTGATGCGGGGCTCCCGGATCACGTTCTCGACGTGGATGAAGGGCGGGATCGCGGGCGGAATCGAATTGCCGTCGGCGTCCACTTCCGGCGGATCGACCTCGACTTCCTTGAGCACGTCAAATGTGAACCCCGTCTCCTCGCCCACAAACTTGTCCACGACGCATTTGGACGAGTCGGTCGCGGCAAACCACTGGATAAAGTTGGCTCCGTCCGCGTCGGCGACCCGGCGACCCAGGTAGCACGCTTCCGCCTGGGTCGCTGCCGCCAACTTGGTCATTCCTACCCGACACAGCACGTCCCAATCGCTCGCACTCAGCAATTCTTCCCGCGTCGCGCTGTCTGCCAAGATGGCCGCGTTCAGGTCATCCTTGACCTTCTGAGCTGCGGCTACCTTCTTGGCGGCCTCTTCCGCCGCGAAATCCGCCTCCGTCTTGTGCACGCGCGACTGGATCATTCGTTCCGTGCGCTGTCGTTCGTTCGCCACGTGCTTGAGCAAGTAGCTGCCGACAAACTCGATCGGGTCGTCGGGCTGATCTAGAGCCACCTGGGCCAGAGCTTCTGCCAATGGCGCGCCCACTGTGTTCTTCAGGTACACAAAGTCATAGCCGTGGTTCCGATCCGTCATGGCGGCGGCTCTTCAATCGACTCAAAATGAAACGCTTTCCTCACGAATAGTACCACATCGATGTACTAACTCGAATGGTTGAACGAGGTACTAACGTTACCTCTGTTTTGCAAATATTGCAACCGAATACTCGGCAGTACTCGGAGTATACAACTTCATTGTGTAGAATCTAATGCAAGACAGCGATCCCACTGATCGACACAAAGACCTGCATCTAAATATAATCAAAAGGGCCACTCATTCGATTCTCACACTGTCAATGTCATCAAGAGATTTGTCTAACATTCATTAATGACAAGGCTAATTAAACATCCGTTCCAGCACTTCGGGGGATCTTGTACCAATTGTAACCCTTGAATTCGGGGGATCTTATACCTCCAGCTTCGCCACGGTCGGCGCCCTTACCTCCGCCCCGCCTTCTCCTCCCCCCCCACCTCTGGCGCCGCCGGCGGCCAGGCCGTCCCATCCCCCACCGATGCCTTCACGACCGGTACCCCTGCCGCCTCGCCTGCCGCCAGCGATCAGGCCGCCGTAGCTCCATACGACGACTCCACTGCCTCGGAGTCTGATGACTCTGCGGCTGCAGACGCCTGGGCCCCTGCGACTGTCGCCGCTGGACCGCGCAAGCGACAACCTACCCAATTCTTTACCTCTGAACCCCGCATTTACACCACTCCCCCCGCAAGCAACACCACCGCAGAGCGTCCAAGCTCCACACGGCCACTGTGTCCACCGTTGGTCGTTCGCGCAACTCCGCTTCAGATGCGGAACTTGCAGCAGACCCCACCCTGCAACACATCGACGGCCTCATCGACAAGCAAGCGAACCCCGACCAGCCCGATGAGTCGTGGTACCTCGTCCAATGGCTTCATCCGTCCACCACCTTCGCCAACAAGGAGTGGGTTTTTGAGGGCGAACTTGAAAACTTCTCTCTGGACAGCGCCAAAGCCCTCCTGGAGAAGTACCTGGCTCTCCCTGCCTCCCAACGCACTGTCGACTTCATGAAGTGGCGCCGCAACTCAGGCGACTGGCTCATGATCGGCGCTAATGACGACAACACCTGCCTGGTGGCCGCTCTACACCAGGCCTGTGATCTCCTGGATCTGGCTTTCAGCTTCACGGCCGAAGATCTCCAGGATTACAAGGACGCCCAAGGTATGACCCAACTTTGGCCATCCCCCAATCCAAGTTTCGCCGCTGCAACAAACGATGGAGTGCCGTAGCATCGAAGACTTGGTTGCTGCTGTGAAGACCGCATTTTCGTTGCTGTCTTCGGAGACGTTGGAGAAGACGTTTATGACCTTGCGCCGGATTATGCAGTGTTATCAAATTCAAGGGTTGCAATCGGTACAAGATCCCCGAGAAAGATATTCATTACACTTAACTAAGTGACCTTCCAATTTGCTATGGACATATGTAGGGGAAGGGGTGCGGGGGTAGGCCTTTTTCGCCTTCGCGAATTTCCCACGGCGGATGCCGACGGGGATGAGGCGGCGGAGGCGTTGGAGTTGGATGGGGCGCTAATGTTCGGACCATAAGGCGTGTCGAGGATGTCGTCTTTCTCCTTGCCGTCGTAGAGTTGAAACATGAAGCCCGGTAGACGTTGGAGGATGTAAGCATTACTCACATCACTCTCCGTCGTGATCAGGAGGTAGAGACCTTCTTCATCGGTGG